AGTATTCTGACAAATATTTACATATAATTTAATATTTTGGCAATAAAATTAAACTTGGATTTTAGCAAATATACAGTTGAAGACCAATGATGACAATCAGATAGCTCTTAAACAGTGGATTTGTTGTAAGTAATAAATAAAACAATAGTATTAACTATCTTGAGGCAAATACAAATTTACTTTTACAACAACAATTCATTGTTGTGCTTATTGCTAATAAAATTCAGAAATGCTTGATGTTACCTAAGTGTGACCTAAGATCAGAAAGACTGTTTTCTCATCTGGGCAATTTATACTGTTGTCTTGGATATCCCAGTGCAGTTACAAATATATCTATAGAGAAGAAAGAAGATGAAATTGCATGTTGCATTTAAAGTCAGTTATAGAGCTGAGTTTCACTTGACTTAAATTCAGGTGTCCTCCTTCTGTAGTTGCTGTCTTTGGGGATCCGATGCAAGTTAATTAGCAGTTGTGTTTTCACTGTGGTTTGCTGGGATATTTGTAAATAAAACTATTACCAAGTAGAACTCTCCTGTAGAGCTCCCATTATAGTGCTTGCCACATTCAAGGAAGCGGAGAAACTTAATGTTTTTCTTCCATTTCCTTTTAAAGGTGAAGCTTATTCACTTATTGGCTGTGAACAGTTATCCAGAAACAATTAATGGAAAACAGAATGATGATTAAAATTAAGGCTGTACCAAATCATTTTTTGCCAATATTCCTTTTGAAAGTACTATACTGTATACGTGACTTATATGTGATAAGTAATGAGTACAAAATATTAGCAATATTTTATTTATTTATCTATTTAAAATATTGGTATGCTGCATCATATTTTCAAAAACTCAGAGTGGTTTAAACTAATTTAGGCACTTCATAATAAACAGGAATAGTGGTATCATCACCATCATCATCATTACCATTATCCTTTAAAAAAAAAATGTTGACACCATTTTGTTTCAGAAGGGTGTTACTGCCTTTTTCCCCTTGTTTTTAGCCCTTTGAGTCCTCAAATTTATGGACCTTATTTATTTCATACCCTATTATTTAATCTGGCTGTGCCAACTCACAATATTTTGTTTTCATGTGTCTTTGATGTTACCCTATAAAACTGGCTGGCCAATCTTTCAATGGCTTGAGACAGATTTGTATTATTTGGGGGACCAGCCAACAGCTGCGGTGAGTGGAGCAATGGTTATGTCGTGTCAGGCAAGTGACATTATATGTTTTGAGAGAATTCGGTTTTCCATGTGAGTAGGTGTCAGTGCGTGCATACATGCATATATATTTTTGAAATGGTTGGGTTTTTGCCTCTTTGATGTGAAGCCTAAAAGAAGACTGACTTCTTGTTTTTCTTTCTGCCACAAAATAGCAGGAAATCGTGTCTGTCTTTCTTGGTAGTTGGCCATTTAAATTTTACTGTGCAAGGACTTCAGCACCTGCAGGCAGCCAGCAGGCCATGTATTGGTCATACCAAATCTAATGCATAACAGTGTATTGTCATTTAGAAAATAATGGCTGGGAACTGAAGAGTCAGTAAAGGAAAAGGAGGTACTTACTCTAAATAGGAAGAAATACATTAATGCAACTTTTTCCAATCCAATTCCCTCAGATGTGATGTCAGTTTCAGCTCCCGTGATCTAGATTGTCTTTTACTCACCAAAGGGGGAAACACCACTTAGGAGAATCAAGTCCAGATTAAGTCTATGCTTAAGTCACTTTTCCAAAATGGAACAGTATGCTGGGGAATGTGTGGGGGAAAAAAATCCAGTTATTACTAGTGTTATTGTCTCATGTTGAAAACAAGGAGCATGCGTACTTTTTTACGTTTAAAGATTAGAACACTGTACAAAGCCAGTGGTTCCAGTTCAACACTGTTTAAGTTTTTAGAAGTCCAAAAGTCAATAGATGAACTCATAATTGCATAGACAGGTATATTAAACTTTGTATTTAATAATCTGGAAAAAGTTGTTTTATGGATTTGTCATGATATAAATTATGTATTTTGAGTTTGAAGACAACGCATAAAAGATCCTTGGAATGGTTATGTCAACTATTATAAAGGAACTAACCAGTTGGAATACAGCCTGGGAAAGGCCCATTAACAAATGGTGAATAAACTCCTTACTGATATTAGCCATAACTGTACATCAAAACCACTATCAATCACTTGTTGTAATAGTAGATAAAAGTTGTTGTGGATTATAGAAGAGGATGAAAATTATTATTCCAGTTAGGTATAAAATTGATCTCCACACTGATAAAGTATATGAGGTGCAGTTAATCATACATAGGTATGGAATTATGTTTTATATATTAAATTAGGGAGCTTGATTTAATGTCTTCAGGTCATTTTTAACTTTACACAGTGCATCTGGTTTCTCATTCAACTGTGCAAATTGCATTATGCTGTGTGTAAGTTTATCATAATGAATTTTATGTACGAGCTCCTCAGTAAAGTTCTCGCAATATTTTTCTTGGTATCCTTTTCATCACAGGTAACAAAGTGGTCATTTTTTGTCCAATGCTACTTCCTGTTTTCACTCTGCAATAATTATTTGATTCTGGTTATTTTATTAACTATGATTCATTGTTTTTATGCTAAAAAAAAGAGAGGCCACATATTTCTGGTTTAATTTTTTAAATTCACCTGACTCCAAACCTCCCCCTCTAGAAGCATTGTATCTCTGACTAACGTCCTGTCCTATCAATGTTATTTCTGCTATACTTCAGTGGGCTTTATTTCTCTTGTACATATCCATTTTTAAGTGAGCTATAAAATGTATTTTTTATAATATCCCACACTGACCTTGGAGTCTAGAGGTTTGATTTCTTAAAAAGACTTAGTTTTATTTCATTTTCTCTTGGACTTATTATTTTCCTACAGAAATGCTAACATCAAACATCACTCTGTGGTCAATTACAAATGTTCATCTTGCCTGACAGAGGCACCATATCTCTGGGTGGCCACCAAAAACCAAACTGTGACTAAAATTATATATACATATATATGGCTGAGGTTGGAGGTGTGCACGTGATGGGCCGCAGGAGTTGTTAGTTGCACTCTGTTGGTTGTAGTGGGTGATGAAGGACTAAGGGGGATTGGAAGATTTTTGGATTTCCCAAGGCTGGAAACCAGTACTGAAGAGGTTTGTGGCAACCATGGTATGTATGCGTGTATGCATGTATGCGTGTGTGTGTGTGTGTGTGTGTGTAATCTGATTTTGGTCTTTGACCAAAAAACTGTAAATAGATCAAATGATATTTCCTTTAAGTTGATATTAAAAGCCCACTTTTTATTCAAATGTTCATCCAGTGTATGAGTTACGTTTATTGAACTAGATAATAAACTGTGATGTAATTAGAGTATTTTCATCTCAGCTGTTCATATACTGTAATGACTTAAACTAGCAAGTTCTTAAGTGAGTGGCAATAACTTCAATCTGTTCATTACATCTGCAAGGACGATGGGGAGAGTGGCAAAATAAGACTCCATGGAAGTCCTTAAGTATGTATAGGTTTGTTTTTTTCTATATTATTCTTTTTTTCCTTTTCCAATACATTCACCTGAATTTGTGGACTACCATATTAGAACATAACAAGTTTTTATTCCCCAAAGGTTTAATGTTTTAGGTGGAATGGATGTAATACTATCTTATTTTTACTAATCCATAGTAAAGTAATTTACTAATTAAAGTAATTTTACTAATCCATGTTGAAAGTAATTAGTTGGAATGCAAAAGAGATAAGTAACTTGACAAAACCTGATAAACCTTAACACTTCATGATGCAACTTTTCTCTTCCCCCTACCTCCACTACTACAAATTTCATATTGCTTGCTAACTGTCTCAAGACCCAGAAGTCAGAATATGCTTGAAGCTAGATGTGAGTGTCAAGTCAGTCCCCAAGCCTACATAAAACTACAATTATAAGATACACAAAGATAATGTCAAGGACTGTTTTGCATATAATCAAAGCGCATTTTCTTAAGAAGATGATACCATATGTCACCTTTAATGCGGATTAAAATATGAATTATATTTTATTGAGGTTTTTCTCTAATGAATTCAATGCAGTACATATGACATGTCATACTTCTTCTGCCCCCAATTTTATTTTCACAACACAGTGAGGCAGTCAGAGACAATTGTTGTTCATAACTGAGCAAGGATTTGACCCCACTCTCTCCACTTTTAGTCCTCCAAGAAAGTCTTCCCTGTCATGTTCAGAAACTTTCCTCACAGTCCTCCAACCACCTGAGACAGGGCCCTTCACATTTTTGGAATTGCAATTCCCAGAATGTCCACTTCAGGCTGGGAACAGCTGATATAAGGTAGACTGGGCAGTAACCAAAGACAGGACTTTCTTAGTGGTGGCTCCAAGTTTACTGCTTTTTTTAAAAAAAATCTCAGAATTCTAGCTTCCTGTTTTTATTTTGCCTTATACAGTACAGGAAGAGGCAAAGAAGAAAAAAAAGTATCCAAAAAAAAACAAAGGGACCAAATTACATACATACATACATACATATAAAGAATCTCAGTTGCTAAACAAAACATTAACCCTTGATCCCACAGAAAAATAGTGATAGATCTTTCCACGACTTCGAAGCAAAAAGCGAACACATGTCGTGAATCCAGGACTGTAAATACAGAGTGCGCTGCAGTACGTTAGTCTTGGTAAGTCACCCGATAAATTTCAACGCACCTTCCCCCACCCCCTCCTGGCCGTGCTCTCAGCTCTCTTTCGGCTGTCTTCGGCTCGGAGCGCTCACTCGCGCACGCGCTGTCTTTGCCTCGGCGGCGGCAGCACCATGCCTTCCCCTCCTTCACGCCCTCTCGCGCCGCCGCGCATGCACGAACGCCCCTACGCTCTCTTATCCCCGCGAATCCCTTCCTCGGTGACGTGTAGGGGCGCGCGGTGGCAGCACCTCCCCGCGCGCTGCTTAAAAAGAAGAAGAAAAGAGGGAGCGAAACATGAGAGCCCTAGTGAGCTCCAGCTCCCGCCGGCAGCAGCGGAGGAGGCATCACCCCAGGCAGGCTGTCCTCTTAGAACTGCGGCTTCGTTTGTATGGAACGACGAAACGGGACTTGCGGCTGCCGTCTCTACCGTGGCCTCCTTTGCTTCGCGCGCTAGCGCAGAGAATCCTCGGCCCGGGAAAGCCTCCTTTGCTCCGCGCTTGGGCACCTAAGGAGCGCCTGTTAAGCCTGCGGCCGCTCTTGTCAAGTTGCGCAAACGCCCCGCGCCGAGGCTCAGCATCTTCTCTTTGCGCGGCTGGGGCGTGCGCCTATGTGTCTGGTTGCCCACGGAGTTTTGCTCATTACACGTACCTCAGCTGTCGTCCCTCTCACTCGCCTTGGAAGTCGCCCTCTAGTTTAAAAACAAAAACTCCGAGTTTTCCAAGGGAAAGCGTTGCATCACTGGATTGCCTTGGGATTTATCATATCAGCCCGTGCTTGAAGTTTTGCGAAGCGGCATGGTGGGGCTAAAGATGCTTCCGTTGAAGCTGCTCTTGGTAGCCATGGTCCTCTGCTTCTTCGAAGGGGAGACCAAGTTTGGTGAGAGCAGTACCAAGAGGAGAAGGTGCTTGAACGGCAGCACCCCCAGGCGCCTCAAAAAGCGGGATAGGAGGCTGATGCTCCTGGAGCCACCCAACGGAGGGGAGCTGCTGTGCCAGGGATTCTACCCTCGCCTGTCCTGCTGCTCCAGGGCTGAGAGACAAGGTTTGCTCCAGATGGAGAGCAACAAGGTAGGCCGCTGTTGGGGTTGGACTAGGTTGGGTGAGAGAGGGAGGGAGCATGCTAGGGTTCACCTGAACAGAAAATGAGTCTTGGGATCTAGGGTCCTACTGATTTGGGGGAGGGAGGAGAACCAATGGAGAACAGGAGAGGTGGGACTGACAGCCATCACTTAACTGTGCCTGGAAAGGTGTTTCAGGAGATAGAAGAAGGTTAAAAATCATCTTTGCTAGGTCCTGAGTTTTCCTAGACTTGAAGGCCACTGGCTGCAGGAAGTGGTAAACTGGGAAGACTGTTTTAGAGATTGGGTGGGAAGAGGCCAGTGTCTTTCGCTGGATCGATTCTGAAGTATGAAAGAGTCCATGAACTTTGCAATCCACTGATAACTTCATTGTCCCCTGGCAACAATACAGTCTGAAATACATCTTTATTGATGGACTTCCCTGACCATATTCCTTGTAGTTGGATTACAAGGGCATTATTTCTAGATAGCCTGAGGATACTGGCTGAGGATGGTTAGAACTGTTATCCATTACCTCTGGAAGGCTCTAGATTGGTTAAAAACTGTCTGTAGAATGAACTTCACTGAACATAGTGAAATAGTATAGGAACTTCTTGTTCCTTCTGAATGTCTGTGCTTTTGACATTGCTGTATATCCATTTTGCGGGGTTTCTTACCAGATGGTGTTAATTTTAAATGTTTCTTTGTGCTGAATCTAACCACAGCATCCAGGTGCCTTTGTTCCACCTGGGCAAACTATTCAGGTGGGATATGGGGAGTAGTTATTATTGATCTGCAAAATTAGAAGGCGGATGTTCGAGAACTTTAAATACTAAATGCGGAAGAATAATTAGGACAACAGAACAAACCCTGCATACAGGAAACAGCCTATTTCACCCCTGCCCACCCCTAGTCAGATGCCCAGTGGGTTCCAACACATCTGTGGAAGAGAAGGAGGGAAACAACATGTTATGAAGACAGTTGGGTTTGTTTATTTATTTATTTTAAAAGACAGATTTTGAATTTAGGAACCAGCAAAGGAAAGGAAGGGAAAGATCCTTCTGAGAAATTCAGTTATCAAATAGATTCTTCAGGAAAAGATGCAGAAAGGAGTTCTGGGTTAGAAACAGGTACAATCTGGACCAAAGCTGAAAAAGGGATGGTGCAGGTGGGGGCGTCTGCCAAGAAGGCCTGGGGGATTTTCTTGGAATCATTTGGCATACCATGGTAGTGATGGAATTGTAAATTAAGGTGGTGGTGGTGGTAGTGGTTTCTTGTTTATTTTTTCTGAGGCTAGAAAAGTGTGCACAGTTTCTCCACATGTTTGGGCAGGGAACTTCAGATAGCAGATGGTGACTGGGAGAGCAGATGATGCCAGGATGCTGCAAACCTTTTACGATCCATTCAAGTCTTCCAGCAATTAACAGCCTCCTCTGGAGAGAAACTGGGAGGAGAGGATGAGTGGATTCCATGAATTTGTTCCACAGCAAATTGGCATAGGGTCAAATCATATGTGGAATGGTTGATATTAGTTTCATCAAGAGAGAATGTCTAGTACACTGTCTCTTATACTTCATAACCCTCGTTGTATACACATTACATTGACTTGAGAAAAGAGCACTGCTCTCTTACTCTTATTGGAAGCAGTATGAGAAATGACACTCTAGCTATTCTAGAATAAGAAGGATGTCTGCCTAATAATGGGGCTGCAATTCGCTGCCTTCCAGCGGGTGGTTGTTATAAGTTTTTCAGGCTATAGTTTTGATCAGGAGTGGAATGTGCAAAGCTGCATCTAGAGAGTGAAATGGAATGAATAAATGTCATTGAGAATCACTGCACGTGAAATAAACAATCAGGTGTCTTTCTCACTGCCCTCTCTCTTTCCTCCCCTTACTCCAGCATTTAAGTTTAATTAAGAATTCCTGTGTTACAACACTCCAGTTGTCAAGGTCTGAGAGTGGCTTGGAAAACTTGTGCTTCAGTCTTTCTGGCCCAAGCATAATTAAAAAAAAAATACCCAGGCTGAATCGAATTTTTATGCTCAGTTCACGGTAGATTTCACCCCATTCTCATGTAAACAGCTTCTACGAATCAACATATGTGTCTGGGTGGTATCTCTCACTTTGTTTTGTAACAAAAAGCCATATTGCATCATTTAATTTGCTCAAGTCATGCAAATAGGGAAAAAAATCAATAGGACAAAAAGGGGTCGACTTATCCTCCTCCCCACTAAACTGCTGCCCACACACAGAGTCCTGTTGCTTATGGCAAAAGAATAACAACAACACCATTGTGTTTGTTGGTTGGTTCGCTAATGGGTGAAACTGGAGAACATCATTCTCCTTCAGTCCCCAGCTCTGTCCAAATGTTCATGCCTTTCGAGGGAGCATTTGTCCTGTTGCCTCCAACCCCAGATGGGTGAGGGTTGCGTTTGCTGCAGGGTTTCAGCGAATCGAACTCTATTCTTACCAGATGCAACAGGAGCTTGGATGGATATTTTCTCCTCGTGTTTGGCCAGAGGTAGTGTCCGCAAGCTCCTGCGTGGTAATCACATTAACTGCACACTAACTACATTCAGATAATTTTCTAAAGATTCTAACTGAAACCCACAAATGCCCAAGCCAAGCTGGAAAGGAAAATGTCCTTAATCTACCCAGTTAGTAAGATACACAGTTAGCTACTGCAGCAGTAGCATAGCATCTACTATATGAACTCACTGGAAAATTTTGTAGTAAGTTATATTTATGTGATGAATTGAAAGTGAGACTGATTTTAAACAATTCCTGAACTTCTAGTAATAGAATTATCATTAATTTGTGACTGTTATGAAACTTGATCTCTATGTCTTATTTGTTTTCAGCATTTTTCACATTTGTGACATTTTAACAATGCATTTAATTGGAAGACATAGGCTTTATCATGGAGGGGAGAGAGAACACACCAGATAACTGTAATTGTAATAAAAACCTGTTTATTTTTATAAACAGAAAAACAAAAGTACATACTTTACATTTCAGTGACAGTAAGCATGCATACAATGCAATCCTGTTCATACATACTTGGAAGTAGGACTCTAATTTCAATGGGATTTAAGCTTAGTTAGGCACACATAGAATTATGCATTTGGAGCTCAGTAGAACTACCTTCCAGATAAATGCAGTTTTATAATAGATGCATATGGAGTTTGTTTTGCTTTGTTTTTTAAAGTCATTTCTTGTGCATTGGACATATGGGGGATGACTTTTCCTTCAAAATGCATCCAATATATTTAAATATAGCATACCCTGAATAGGTAGTCTGGAAGGAATCCAAAAACTACATTAATATGTTTTGAAGTGACACTGTATTTATATATTCATCCATATACAGAGTAAGTATTCTAAAGAATAGGTGTTTCGGCAGAGTTAAAGTAAGGCAACATGCTCAGCAGATATTTTAATTACAAAGAACCTCCTGAATCAAGATTATATTTGTCAGACTTCTGGCAATTTTATGACCAAAATTATTGATTGCTAAGAGAAACATTGACAGCCTCTTAAATAGCACAGAGCTGAAATAGAGAACATGTTTTAGTGCACAGTCATTAAATGACAATCTCCTCTTTTTTTAATAGTATCATTGACATTTTATCCTTCTGATTTAATTCACTAATCTCATAAGCAAATAATGCATACTAGTATTTTGTGTGTGGTTTAAATTTGCTTGCAGACTGTCAAGCACAATGGTTTTCTCTACCTTAGATGGTTTCACAACTAAGGCTGTTGTGGAATGAATGAAAAGTAATTGTTTTCAAGTGTGCCCTTTTAAAATCATTTGTTTTCTCTAATTCTTTCTTAAACAAAAGCTATTGTTGAACACATCCAGCTAAACAAATAACTCATCTTGGGATCCGTTTAACAGCTGCCTTGGTACAATGATCTATTTATTATTGTCCTAAAAATGAAACTGAACTCCTTAATGACATAATCTAGCACTATAGTCCCAATGAAGTTTATGTTCAAACTAGCAGATGAATAATCTTGCAGTTAAAAGAAATGAGTTTCAAGTTTCAAATACTGATTAAAGTTAACACCTGAACCAAATGATATGAACCCTTCCCTTCCCCAGTCTTAAATACCACTTCCCCACTTGTACCCAGCTTTCATATGCAGAAATTATGTCGGTCTGTGTTTATTTCTTTTTTGCTATTAACCTATTGCCAGGCCAAATCTTTCAATAACTGCCACCTCTTTATCTGTCTTTGTGTAAAGGTTAAAGGATAAATTAAAATATGTTATAAATTAGTCAGCAGTAGAATAATAATTAGTATGGATGTTGCATAAATGTAAATCAGTATGATTTCAAGGTTTTACATATTGGTTTTGAAAACAGCAAAACAATTAGGACAAATCTTTAGCTTCAAGACATGCTTGTTATTAAAAATGTATTTGAATTTATTGGTGCATTTGGATCAATTAATCCATTTATTCACATCCAGTACAAATATATTGCCAGTTAGTGAAACCAAGAACTGAACATAATCTGTATGAACAAACATTTCCCAAAGCTCAGGTTCAGTAACTGTCATCTTCAGCTTAAAATATCTCAAGTAACAGATCCATATTGTGAGAATAGAGAATAAGCTTTTGTGTGCAAAATTCCCAGGTTCAATTCCTGGTATTTAGAGTAAAGGGGATCTAGTAAGGTGTGTTTGAAAAGATACTAGAAAACCTCTTTCGGCTACACTAGATAATAGTGAATTTGATGGATAGTCTGATATCCAGGAAGGTAGCCATATAAATACCTGAGCTCACATAGAGTAATTCTGTAATGTGACAGCAGTGTCCATTATACATATTGTACCTAGATTAAGGGCATGGGATCTTCATGTTGAAATGTTTCCATATTTCAGGAAGTCTTATCTGGCATACATTTTATTTCCATTTCTCAAGCCATTTAGAACCATGCGTAGCCTGTATGCTCTGTTCCATTTGTTGGCCATCCAGCAGGACACAAGATGGAAAGTTATGT